CAATTAGGCTTTAATGATCGTTCTTTCATGCTATCTCATTTGCAATTCGGGGATGACTTAATAATTTTTAGTAAGGCTTCTAGTCATGACTTGGTGAATATTAGGAGGGTGCTTCTAATTTATGAACTGCTGGTGGGTTTGAAGTTGAATTTGTCCAAGAGTAGAATTTTTGGAATTAACGTGGGAGAAGAGGAGTTAGTTTCATGGGCAAAGGAAATAGGGTGTGTAAAGGGAGTTTTTCCATCGGAGTATTTAGGTCCTCCATTGGGGGCCAAGAGGAATTCCTTTTCCATGTGGGAACCGGTAGTTCAAAAATTTTATAAGAGTTTGGCTGGTTGGAAGGCCAAGTCTTTATCTCTGGCTGGAAGGGCTGTCTTGGTCAAATCCGTTTTGTGCTCTCTTCCAATATACTACCTTTCTATTTTTCGAATCCCTAGTAGCGTTCTCAACAAATTAAACTCTATCATGGCATCGTTTTTATGGGGGGGAGCATCAGATAAAAAGAACATTCATTGGATTAAGTGGGATTTGGTGTGTAAGCCTAAGAAGTTGGGGGGTTTAGGGATCCCGAATCTGTTATTAAACAGGGCTCTTTTGGGGAAATGGGTGTGGAAATTTGCTGCAGAGAAAAACTCTTGGTGGAAATCTGTTTTGTGCTGTGTCTACAATTTGGATCCTAATTCTTTGATGATTCGGAATTCTTGGACAGCTCGTACTTCTTGGATTTGGAGAGGAATTGTTAAGAATTTATTCTCATGTGATGCATTTGGGGACTGTTTTAGGAGAAATTTGTGTGTTAGAGCAGGAAATGGAGAAACATTTAAGTTTTGGCATGATGTTTGGTTGGGTTCGGTTCCTCTTAAAGATAGGTTTCCAAGGTTATTTGCTCTTTCGAATAATAAAGAGGGTAAGGTTGCAGAATTCAGATTGCATTCTGATGCGGGTTGGGTTTGGGATATTCAAACGAGAAGGAATTTGGTAGATTGGGAGGTTGAACAGTGGCTGCAAATTATTTCTCTGTTGAACAACTCTTCTTTGTCCCTAGTTGAGGAAGATTGTTGGATTTGGTTGGGAAATGGAGAGGGCTTGTTTATAGCAAAATCATGTGTGAATGCTTATTTTGATAGAGAAGGTAATGTTGAATTAGAAAGCAATTGGGAAAGATATGTTTGGAAAGGAATAGCTCCACCTCGTGTGGAATCTTTCGTTTGGCAACTTGCTCATCATAGAGTAGCGGTGAAAGAGGAACTGCTGAAGAGAGGAGTAACTGGGGTTGAAGACTCTGTTTGACCTATGTGCAGGAAGTTTAATGAGTCGGTCGCTCATTTGTTTCTTCACTGCGAAGTGGTATGGGCCTTGTGGGCTAAGTTTTTAAATTTATGGAATGTTTTCTTTGTGGTTCCTGGTTCGTTGATGGATTTCTTTATGGCCTGGGATGATCTAGTGCCACGATCTCACATATGGAAGTTTATTCCAAGAGCAGTATTGTGGTCTGTATGGAAATGTAGGAATGAAGTGATTTTTCAGAATGGGAAGGTTGATCCAGTGTTGTTGTTCTTCATTACACGTTTCAGAACTGTTTCTTGGTTTGAAACATCAGTTAAGGATGTTCACTTTCATTTCGATTCTTTGATGGGTGATTTAAAACTTGCAGATCAACTGGGCAATTCGCATAAGAAGAATCTTCCTTCTTCCAAGTGGAGTCCTCCTCCGGAAGGGTTTTTAAAAGTAAACGTTGATGGTGCAATGGTTAAAGATTGGGATAAGGGTGGTATAGGTGGCTTGATTAGGGATGGCAGCGGGTTGGTGCTTGGGTCTTTTTCAGAGAAGGTTGGGGGAGGTCCTCCTCTGCTCGCGGAGCTTTTGGCTATTAAAAGAGGGTTGATTCTTATTGAGGAAGTTGAAATTGATTTCTATTCAAAACAGAGGTTTATTTTGGAATCAGACTCTTCAAATGCTCTGAAGTGGATTAATAATCCGATCCTTAGTTCTACTTTGTTCCAATCCTTGGTAACGGATATAGCTTCTACTGTGGAGATGAAGGGTATTATCACAAGGCATATCTCGAGAGCAGCTAATTGGGAAGCTGATGAATTAGCCAAAGCTGGCATAGGCTGATTTTAGTTGTGTAACTGTTAAGGTGTTGTCTTGGTTGTTACTATTAAAAGTGTATTAGGGTGTTTTATGCTTTCAGAATTATGGTTGTTTTGTTGTGTAAGAAGTTGTTGTTGTAGAGATGTGGAGGTGTATTATTGTTCCTATTAATAAAAGTTAGAGGCACTCTTTCCCTCATGTTATGTTTGTAACATGGAGGATAAGAAGGGGGTTTTAATGAGGCCTTATTCTATCAAAAAAAAAACAGACTTCTGCTTTTTAATATATACTTTTTAGAAACTTTATTTTTTTCAATTATAGAGCTTTGCATGGACAACAATACAATAATGTGACATGACCTGCTACAGGTATCCCAGCATGCAATATTTTTTGTTGCCAGGGTACCGCAAATATGGAAGAACTTTTCTGTAAGTATTACTTGGAACTTTCCATATTGATTTTTTTTTGGGATAAAATGTATGTATTATATCCAAAGAAGCAGCAAGCTGCTACAAATCAACATCCATATTGAATCTTTGTCCTCTTAAACTGTAAAAATTTATTCACCAACATTTTGGTTTATGAAATTGCCACAGTTCCATAAATTTCCTTATTAATTAAAGGGAAAGAATGTGTAAACATTTCTCTGAAATATTTTTTTACAGCTCATTTCTGTATAAGGCTTTCATTCTTGTTGTTCCTGTGTTCATATTTGCATGCTTGTCTGCCCCTGTAAATCATACTCGCTGTGTTTTTGCATCTAAGGCATCTACTGTTGTTAGTTTGAAAACAAAGTTGTACTATGTTCGAAGAGTGGGAAATCATCAGTGCTCACTTTTTGTTGCACTGTTTCACCACAACCTATTTATGATCATAACTACTAAAATAAAAGGCTTCTTTCTTGGTAAATTCAGTGAACTTCTGACTCAATAGATTCTATCTAGTAAACTGCTATTTGTTTAACTAGATATTCCTAAATCCAGGTCAGTTTCCAGCAAGTGATATGAGCTCCTCTGTTCCATTGGCTTACTTTCTTATTGCATGTCCATCTTCTGTGACTTTCTACTTCTGTACAATCTAACTTGTTAGCTAATTCTTTAGTGTTGTTAATTAACAATTATTCTTTGAGCAGAACAAAAGCACCGGGGAGCTCAGCTTCTTAACATGCTTAATGAATACTGCTGGCTCGCTTGGTAAGTACATATTGTTTATAGAGCTGTTGGGAGTATCCATGTTTTCTTTTTTGTTCAATTAAGTTGGAGTACCAGTGTTGATAGTGCCGTAGAGGTAGTGTTTTCCTGTACCAATGACGAGGGATAAACTAAACTCATTTGATTTGTTTCTCTTGCAGCGAGAGTATTTACCAGCATTCAGGAAAAAGCACCACTAAGTGGTATCCTTTTTCTATCATACTTTCATCTTCTAAATTTATTTATTCACTTGTTTAAAAAATTTCCATGGCTCTTTGTTTCTTCTGTTCTCCATTCTCATTTGAAGCAATCTGCTTCTGTCTAAAGCAAATTTTCTTCCTTTTCTTTTCTTTTCTCCGGGAAACCAGAAGATAGATTATGGAACTTCCAATTTTTCTCAAATTTCTTATGGAAATGTAAACTCATTTAGTACACATGCCATGTTATGAGAAAACTGCATATACACTGTTGGGTTATATATTTGGTATCCTTGACTCCCTTGAAGTTCTTGCGGGCTCGATACTTGGTATCATGACAAATGGCACAATCCTGAGTCAAATTATTATATATCAAAAGCCACGAGTAGAGAAGGAGAACAAAACAGAATAAATTGATATCAAGTAGACTATGATTCTGTTGAAGGTTTAGATCAGTGGAAAGTTTAGATTGGTGTATGGATAAACATCTCGAGGATGATTTAGTTTAAGATACTATTAGTAAACTGGATTCGTCAACATTTTTCTGCTTTTCTTTGAATCGATATGAATCATGCTGCTTTTGCCTTTTAGTTGGCTGTTATTTTCATTAATATTGAGTACTTATCTTTATTTCATCTCTCTATCTCTCAACCATATCTATATCTTTTGTCCCTTCAAAATATAAATATATAAATTAATTTCATAGTGAAGTAAATGGATTGATAAAAATGGAGTGGAGACCAAATATTTGGAGCGTGAAAGGTAATGGAAGAAAAAAAGTGAGATATCTGCGATTAGATTCTGGACGTTTGATCGAGTCAAGTCAAAAATAGGATTTAGTCAAGTTAATGAGTTGTATTTTATGATTCAACCTTTATTTGAATTTTTGAGTTGAAATCGAGTCAAATAATAACTTGACTCGAACAACTCAATTAGAAAATATTGAATTTTTTGCGAGTCGAATGGTAACATGACTCGAAAAACTCAGAATTAAAAAACAATATTTTTTCTAATTGAGTTTTGTTCCCCTAAATACACAGGTTCTAGAAATTTGGAATGGTCAATGTACCTCAAACAAAGCTCAGCTGCACAATTAGAGTCTTCTATGTGCATGATAGAACCAAGTTCGACTGCCACGTCCCTAATGTCTGAAGTTTGCATTAAGTCTGATACACATTGCAAATTGAATAACGTTAAAGTTCTTGTAAAACTGGGCTTTCATGCTTTTAAAGCAAAAACTCTCGGGCATTTGATTTGGTAGAAACTTTGCAGATGATATCTTATTGATATACCTACCAATCGGGATTTTTCGCATTGATCTTCATGCGTACAATTAGTTAATATAACACAGACAAGTTGATAAGCGCTGCAATGATTCAAACACACAGGGCCAAAACCAGAGGTTGTAAATAACTTTCAGAAACATATGATTACGTTAAGTCAAGCAGTTGCAGTACACAAAACTTGTAATCTAATTGAAATACGTATCACAATATGCATCAAGAAAGAATCGGAAGCAAAACAAATACAATGATCTAGCTACTGTATTAGGGTGCTGCCGTCGGAAGAAATATAGGAAAAGATAAGAGAAACCGTCACTTTTGAAGATGAAGATTCAACTCTAAAGGCAATCAACAGAACACAGCATTGAATTAAATCCCGAATCTGATACTACAACGCACAACAAAATAAACATTTCAAGAACCAAAATGCTTTTTCTCCCACCTTTGCCTCTTCCACTCCAAATTAACTATGAGAACCGCTGCCGTTACTGTTTGCGAACCTTCTCAGAGTGCAAGCCACTATACTTCTCCCACTCAAAAGCCCTAGAAACTTAGTTGATGTTAATCGACCTGTGCTGCTTGAAGCAATAGCAGAAGCACTGGCTACAATGGGAGGAAATTCAACTGCATTATCTTGTGCCCCGACATCACTGGCACTTGCATCTAACTGTTCCCCTGTATCCAAATTAATTGCGAGTGATCCTCTGTTTGCTCTTAACCATTCCACCCCCTCCGATGTTACTCCTCTGCATTTCTTCACCTTCACTTTAATCAAATTCGGGCAACCACTAGCAAGGGCTTCCATTCCATGATCTGAAACAGGGCAACTCTTAATACAAAGCTTCTTCAAAGCTATACATTTAGCAGCAATACATGAAATCTCTGCGTCACCCACTGTATCACTACCGCATAAAGCTAACCGTTCCAAGTTCTGACAATTTGAAGCTAACATTCCCAGACTTATGTTCGTCAGATTAACACCGATAAGAACCAATTCTTGTAAATTAAGGCATGAGTTTGCAACAGCAATTACACCTTGGTCACCTATTCGATTGGCCTTCCATCCATCAATGTGAAGCTTCCTTAACAATTTACATTTCCCAGCAACAGCTTCAAGTCCAGCGTTCGTACACTCTGGAGTCTTAACTAGGTGAAGAATTTCCAGGTTTGAACAGTTGGATATAGCCTCGAGACCGATGTCGCTTATTTGAATCCGTTCCATATGGATCTCTACGATACCCGTCACCTGATCAACTATAAGAGGGAAAAGCTTATCCCAATCACCAGAGCATCTAAAAAGTTTTAAGGATTTCAGATTCTTAGCACCAATAATAAGCGGACCAAAGCACTGTCCATTATAAAGCTCTTTTAAGCAAATTGTTTTTAACGCTGCCGCCTCCATCCCTGGCCCTATCGGCTCAGCTGCAGCTCCGTCTATGATGCCACGAAGTCGTTTCACGGAGAGTTCCTCGAGTGCTGGACAGTGGTCGAGCACGGCGTTCATGCCTTTAGCTCCGAAAGTGCAAGATCCACACGAGAGCTTCTTTAGGCCCCTGCAGTTCTTAGCAAATGCCGACATTCCCGCATCGGTCAAGTCACGGCAAGCTCGGAGCTTAAGGCGAGTCAAGTTCCGGCAGCGCTCCGAGATTAGAACAAGCGCTTCATCCCCGATGCTAACAGATCTACGGTCACATTTCAGGGCCAGTTTCGTGACAGCATCAAAGCGAGAGAAGATGGAAGGAATCAGAGGTTGCAGATCTGAGTGTGCGTTGAGGGAAAGTCGGTGACGGCTCTGTCCTTCCGTCCTCAACCACCTGCGGCAAACAAGAGAACAGCGTTTCCGGTCACCGGGGCTAAGAAACTGGAAAATGCAAGCCAAACACTCGTCCGGTAGAACTGAGATGAAATCAGATAATCCATCCATGCTACTTCGTTCAAGCTCTTCAGCTTCCTCAGTTTGCATCGGAGAGATCAGAGCCGTTGATTTCAATTTTGACAGTTGGCTACGGTTACAATCCCCACGGCTGGTGAGTTTCACCGTCGACACTGCTTGACCCATCGACAACAACAAATACCTAAACCTAAAGAAGAAAAAAACACAAACAGAAACAGAAAAGACGACCACAGGTTAATTAAATTATCCTGGGCGAAACCGTGAGGAACTAAGGACCATTTTTCAGGCTCCGCAACGGTTTTGTTCTTGGAAGTGACCAGCCCGGCGGAATTCAAAAGCGGAATTCATTAGGCCTTGGGTCTCGATTTTGTTTGGTTGGTCTCATCTTTCTTTCTGAACAAAAAAATGGCCTTCCCTATCGTCCACCTATTCGGCTTTCCCATCCTCACAGTGATACTTTTCGTGAGCCCCCATCCCTTATTTTCATTCTTTAGTGGGTCAAGGTTGAAGTCCAATAAAATTAAAATGAAAACGGTTCGAATAAAGCTGGAGTTGTGAGATGGGCACGGGAGATAATTTATTTTCGACCTAAATTTCTTGCTTTTATTATGCTCTTAAACAATTCATTATGGTGTTGATATCCGGATACTCACATTTTTATTCGAAATTCTGTGTATAGGAGACTTTCGGGTAGGGATGGGCACGGGGCGGAATGGGTTTTTGGCCGTTTTGATCTCGATCCGAAAATATATTTTTATATTTAGTCTCTCTCCTCTTAGATGAATTTTAGTTTTTTTTCGCCCCGAACTCATCCCGGTTTTTAGACTAAAATCCGAATCTAACTCGATTCAATTTGAATATATTAATATTTTAAAATAATAAAAATAATATATTTTATAATATATTTATAACTATTTGTTATCTTTTAAATGGTTAAAATAATATATTTTATAATAATTTATATTTTTAATAATATAAAATTAAAACTCGTAAAATATTAAATATATTTTATATAAAAAATTATAAATTAATTAGGTCGGATCGAGTCGGTGATTTTAAACTTGGCCCCGCTTCTCCCCAAGCCCTGAAATTTCAAAAAAAAATCGTTCTTATAGGGTCAAGTCAAGTCGGGACCCATTGAGTTCGGGTATTTTGATCATCCCTACCTTCAGGTCATAAAAATTTAACTCGTATCTCGGTCTGTAAGAGGCCTCATTTTTAGGTCACTACTGATAGATTAATTTTTATTTTATTTTGTTTTCTAATTTATATTAGTTTTTTTAAAATGTCATTAAATATTTAAAATTTTATAACACGTAATACAAAAAAAAATTAGCTAATCATATTCCCATATGTAATGGGGTAAGGAGGAGGTAAGGTAGTAGGCTACCCCCAACGCTAGGTTGAGAGCAACTTCCGTGGAAGACCTCCGGCAATTATTAATTGCCCACCGTGAGACTCGATCCCACGACCACAAGGTTAAGAGCCTTGCGCTCTACCAACTGAGCTGGACAGGCAATTCATAACACGTAATGCATATAAACATAAAATTTATAAATCTAAATTGAAGCTGTATTAATCAAAACTAATTCTTTAAACATTATTTACAAAAAAACCAGTGATTGGTTATACAATTCCCCAAGCGTTACAAAGGAAAAAATTAGTGCAATTTAGTCTATTAATAGGTTTCCCCCTAAGACGTATACTAACAACTTCGATAATTTCCTTGAGCAAATTGTCGGCAGTACGCGATCGGCCTTGGTACATTCTGCGATTTCGTTCTTGCCACATGAAGTAAATAAAAGCATTCCAAGAAATTTTTAAGATTGTGGTAGTAAGGGATTTCCCTTTCCACGTTAAGCACGCCCGAGAGACCATTGCTTCCCAAGTCAGAGTTGTGAAGGTCATTCCATTCAGTAGAAGAATTGATTTCCATAGATCAACAACCATGGGACAAAGGGAATACAGGTGATCCCTTGCTTCATTACAGTTTCTGCAATTTACACAAGTAGCAACAGTATTTATTCCCATTTTTTGTAGCCAATCACTGGTAGGTAACCTGTTCAAAATGACCATCCAAACGATCAGACTATGCTTTGATATATGCATAGGATACCAAATGAGCCTGTGTCATTGAACTTTCAGCCGCTGCATCCGAATCTTGTCCCAAATATCATTGGTGTGCAATATGTCTGAAGTAATCAGAGGATAAGCGATGGTCCTCATTATTTACATAGAACAACAAATCATCTTATTTATGGGCTCAACGCAAACAGTTTTTTTATTATTAAAAGATATAAAGGAAAAGCGAAATTAATTTAACATACAAGTTTCGTAAGATTTCACGAGTCTTCAAAAGCTTTCAGTACTGTTCACGTATAGTTCACGTTCAAAAGATGCGTATATTATTATCAATAATTCAAGTTGAATTATTATAGGATGATTGGTACTGTAGTATAACTGCCTATGGATTAAAATATTCATTCTTTTATATTGGGGTTAGGCCTGACTTGACCATTCAGAATTAACTCTAATTTTTTGGTTTAGTTTTAACTGTATACTACAATTAAAATATTAGAATAATAAATTTAAACTAAAAGGAAAAAAAAGGGGAGAAATAAACTTTTGAAGAGCGGGACAAAAGTTCAAAATACCCATAGAGTACCCATCGGATACGATACGGGCATACGGCTCAATAATGAATTTAAGAGCACCTTTGAAATCTGGTACATACACATTGCCCCATGCCCCGAATCTTCTTTCCTGCAAATGTTTTTAAAATTCAAAATTTGAAGTTTACAGGTTTCGTTAATCAAGAAGGGGCCATGTCTGAGGCACGAGGAAGCTAAAGCGGATTCGTGGCCCATACCAGAGTTCAAAGGCAATTACATATTCTTTTCTTCTTGAAAATACTACAAAACACCAACCAACTTTTGACCCCTTAAGTTTAAAATTAGATGTTCAATCATCAATGTATCATTAAATCCACTACCAGTTCACTATTCTTATGCTCTGCAATGCCTCCCACCACATTTCGACTTGCATGTTAAAAATTTAATACTGTTCTCACTTTTATAAATATTTTATATAACCAGTATTATCCTCTACTTCATTAAATATATTACCATAATATTATATTAGGGTCAAAAATATAAAACTAGATTATATGATATTTTTAATAATATTTTAAGTAACATTATATTTCAATAATCATATCCCAAATATAACTTGCATCCCATGAACCAAATCATTTCAACCTAATTATTTTGAAATATATGGTACTGTTTGAGTTTAATCATCTTTATCCACGTCTACTTCTGTTAGGTTGGTAATGGTCCAATCGAGGGAGTTTAGAGATGGGCACTAGGAGATGATCCGGTGAGTTAGGTTTTCTTTTCAATCACTCTAACATTGATCTAAGAAAATATTATTTTTCTACGATATGACACCTTAATATAAGGTTAAAATAAAGTGTTATTGATTTTATTGTTATTTAAATAACAAAATCGTTAAAAATTTATCTAAAATATTATTATTTGTATCTAAAATATCAATTTCTTAATATTTTTGATAAAAATGTCTAATAATAATAAAATCAATAGAAAAAATAACAAAATCGGTAACGTTTTACCAAATACGGTAAAGCCCCCAATAATAACAAAACCAATAGAAATAATAATGTTTTCGGTAATTTTTTATTGATTTTTTTATTTAACTAATAACAAAATTAATACTACCTTTTTTTAACCGTATATTAAAACTGCCACATGTGAGCGTTACTATTCACTTAATCTCCATTTATCCCATGTGATTCGTATCAAAATTTGAAATTAAAATATGTCACTGATTTGACTTGAATAAATTTTAAATATATTTCATTTTTTTATCAATCGAATTTTAAAACCTAAATAAAAAATTCACATATGGTTAAACTATTGTCATCTATGACTTTCTTCTTTCAAAAATCATGGAAGTCGTTTATCATTAATTAATGGTTCTATAAGGAGGATAAAAACAACAATCTGAAATAGAGAATTTCAAAAGCTTCGTGTCAATTTTTATATTTATGAAAGTTATTCTTAAGAATTTGAGTCACTGGATCGAAAAAGGAGAAAGCTATTGATACACTGCAACGAGAGGTTGAACGATGATCATTTGTTCCAGAGTCCCAATGCATATTGGGTTTAAATTAATAAAAATAAACAAATGAGAAAATAAAGAGCTAGACTCAAGGCATTAGGAAAATTTAGATAGGATCATTTAATTCGAAACCGACATATTTTAATTGTAGACACCCGTTTTTGATCAGATTTTTTATTTTTATTTTTATTATTATAATTTATTTATTATTATTAATAAATTTTTTATTTTATTTTTTATAGGACCCTATGTTCAACCCCACTAGTCCACTACCCTTCCACCACTACCATGCCATCATAAATCAAGGAGGGAGTTGCTTTGAGTGGGGATCAGCTAGGAACTTAGTGGGGACCCTCCTGTTATTTAAAGATGGGGACGTGCAAGCCATGAAAGGGGGATTTTTTTTATTGGTTTTGATCCTATGAGAAAGGGGGGATTTTATTGATTGGTTCTGATCCCATGAGAAAGGGGGGCACCATTTTTTTGTTTTAATAATGGAGACATGCACTTTTCCATTGGAGGGTTATACGTTTTCTCCCTTCCCATTTTCTTTCTCTGGTTTTGTCGAACAGAAATGGAGTCAGAAAAACAAAACATTAATAAAAACCACTAAAACTGGAAGGTGGTCTCGCTCACCTCAAGTCATCCACCACTAATGGAGTCTTTAGCCTTATCATCATCTCTCCTAACCCCACCAATCCATTCTCTCTCCTCTTTCCGCTACGACCTTGTAAATGCTTCAACTAGCCACCAAGCTCCAAACCTAAGCTTATCATTACGCAAAAGTCATCTTCAATACCAAAGTCATGAGATTTGGTGGTCCGTTCACAACAGCTCAGACACCCAATCATTTCTTCTCGTGACCATCGGGGCACGTTGTCTGCTCTCTTCACCATCGGGGCTTTTGGTATATGGTCCGAGAAAACGAAGATTGGAAGTAAGGGACACCGCGGCTTGCTTTCCTGCTTGGGTCAGATTTTGTCGCGCAAACCGCACGTAGTGATCCACCATGATCTGAAGCAGGTACGATACTAACGATCCACTGCAAATCGATGAGCAACAACTACAATTCTCCGACGAGGAATGAGGTGATCAACTAACTCAGAGTAAGAGACAGAGGACAGCCGGTGGTGTCGGTGGCGAATGAAGAGAAGAAGATGGTACGGCTGGAATTCTCGGTGTCGCTGTCGAAGCAAGAGATCGAGGAGGATTTAATGGTTATGGTTGGGCGTCACTCGCGGAAGAGGC